TGCAAACGAACCAATATAGCTATCCCTTGATAATTCCCTGCATCATACCCCCATTCTGGTATGACTTGCTGAGTACAGTGGGTAGTACTCAGCCTTGCTCTATTTTCCCCAAACCCCAGAATTCGAGTATGCGTCAGATGGTGGTTTCTCCGAGGAGTAGGCTTCGTCCGTGCCGTCGAGGATGCTTGTGGAGTGGTGTTCCCGCTGCAGTCCAAGTCATGGCTTAGCTCTAGTTATCCTTTAAGTTTTCCGCTACATTTATGTAAGACTTTTATAATGTTTGTAAGACGTGGATCTGTATGTCAACTTTGTCGATTGTGTACCCCGGCCGGTCCTGGACGGGAATTTTAATGCATATTCTGCTTGGAATTCTATTTGGGAATTTCTAGGCGTGACAGATGAGAACGACGAGAGGAACTCACCGGTGGGCGACACGACGACGAACGACGATGGGAGACGGCCGGCGACGAGCTTCCAAAGGCGGCGGTCTCGGCTTGATGGCGTCGGCGGTGCTTCGGTGGGCTTTGTCAGCAATGGAGGGGTGGACGAGGTCCTCCTCGCGAACCCGATGGTAGCGACGGCGACCGGCGGCGACCACCACGGCGATGGCGCGAGGTAGCTGAAGCGGCTACGGCGGCGGCAGAGCTAGGGTTTGCGCGGTAACGGCTCTACAAGCGACGGCAAGGCTCGGGACTTGAGGGGAACGGTAGAGGCAACTAGGGGATGCTATTTATAGGCTCGGATGCGAGATATTGGGCTCCAAACGAGTGGATTTGAGCCGGAAAATCCGATGTTTTAGTTGGAGAGATGAACTCTAAACGAGTTTCATTCGGATAAAATACTTCCTCCGTCCCATAATATAAGAGATTTTGAGTTTTTGTTTGCACTCTTTGATCACTCGTCTTATTCACAAAAAATTAAGTATTATTTTTTTTTGTGTGACTTGCTTTATTATCCAAAGTACTTTAAGCATAACTTTTCGTTTTTTATATTTGCACAAATTTTTTGAATAAGACGAGTAGTCAAACAGTGCAAGCAAAAACTCAAAATCCCTTATATTATGGGACGGTGGGAGTTACAAGGAATTGGGTTCCAAAGTTCTTGGGGAAACGAAAGAGGGAGATAAGGGAAATATTTCCCCTCAACTAATTTTAGGAATACACAAGAGAAAAGGCCGGATTTGAAGGAGAAAAACCGAGCCAATTTGGTCTCAGTTAGGCTGTCCTGAGGTTGAAGATGAACAGTACGAGGTAGGAAAACTAGACTTTCTGTCTGAGCTGCTGAGAAAGACACAAAGAAAGAAAAGAGCAGGAGGAACTAGAGTAGACTTTCTTTGAGAAAAGGAAAAGGATGGGCAGCGGGCTGGCATGGCCGGCGACCCGAGAGGAGCTTTGTGGGCTGAAAATGGCCCACGGCCTAGAGAATGGTTTTAAAACTTTTTCTTATTTAAATAATTCATGAAATGCTGTGCCATTTATTAAAAATACTTCCTTGGCTCAAATAAATCCCAGAAAAATATAGGAACTATAGAAGTATTTACCAAAATTTTATCTAGCCCATTTTATATTGAGATTTATTAAACTAATCTTTGGTCTTTTCTTTTAGGCTTTTAAGATCAATTATAATAATTCAACTTATAATTTAAGGATTTTTAAACAAGCAAAGCACTTTACAAAATTACAGATAGATCATTTAATGATTAGTTTATCGATTAACTAATTACTGAAATGTTCTTTGTATTATTAAAATTAGGAGTTGAGCTCTGAAAAATCCGAGAAAATTCCAGAGAGTATAATTAATCATGGAGAATTTAATAAAAATTAAATCCAGCCATGCCTTATATTTAGGAAATTTTATTTCCCACAATTAATTTAACTTGTAAATTAATGAACATTTAATATAAACAAAAACAATAAACATGTCTAAATTTTCGAAAATAAACTGTACGTGGGACAAATCCTAGAAACTCCCGAAATGGAGTTCACGACCAAACTAACTTCCAGTATTTTTGCATAAGCTTCTGAGAAATGTAGCTATTCTGAAAAAAATTCGTCAAACACTCAGTCTCTCCTAAAATCCCTGCAAAAAGTTCCTCACCTCTCCTCCTCTCCCTACCTCCCTCTGATAAGTGGGCCCAAGCACCCTGGATCCCACCTGCTACTGGCCCAGGGTTCCCCTTACCGTTTCGGGGTGGTTACTGACCCCTGTGGTAAGTCGGTTATCGTGGTAACCACGCAGTGACCGTGAAAACCACACAAATCTCGGTTTTGAAAATTTGAATTCAAAAAACCGTGGTATTCCGGTTTTCGTGCGGTTACCGTGTGGTTTGAGGCAGTTACCGTGGTATTTGTGCGGTAACCTGAGATGATTTTGCCGAAAGAAGAACAAAATGAAAAAATGCAAGAAAAAAATTGGAGAAACACTTAAATGTATGTAGAATTTGGGGACATGATAACAAAAAATTAGAGAGATGAGAGTACAGGAGATATTTTCTCCACGATGGGCCATAATGGACCGCATGACCAGTGCAAGATTGAGATGAACCAAACTCTACAATTGATTTATATGAACGATTTTACAAAGTTCAGGGGGTTAGAAGTCCGGTTTTAATGTTTAGGGTGATAGATGGACTTTCATCCAAAGTTTGGGGGGGGGGGTATTTGGATTTTTTTCCTAATTATGTTGTGTTAACTTTAACTCAGAGGAGCTACCCATGTGTCGGGATATGATATGGGCATTTAAGTTTATCCAATATAATGGTTAAGTACCTCTGGGGGATACGGATGGGTTGCCGCCACGGCGTTAGGTTTAAGGCGTGGGCTCGCAACCTAACGGCTCTAGGTCATATGTCTAGTGTAGATTTTCACTTGCCGTCACTGATGCAAGGCCACGCTTAATGATATAACAGTTCCGTTATGACCTCTAGACCACATTCAATATGTAGAGTGTGGTAGTACTTCGCGAGCACGAAACAAACAAGAGTATTCATATCATGTGGATAAAGGTGCACAAACTTTGCAGAGTCTAAAACAAATCGACTAGCCGTGCTCATGGTCCTGAGCGACTTGATGAAATGATACAAGTACAATATTGATGATTTATTAAAACGTTTTTGTGAAACAGGTATGGTGAATATTGGTGATGACTTTGCCGGGTGTTGGCTAAGAGTAAATTGTTTACTTGCTGCCATGGAGGGCACAAGGATGATACTATGATGATATTTATGATATTATATGGTTCACTCTCTGATTTAAAATTTTCATTGCAATCTAATATTATTATTTACTATTGTGAAACAAAATTCGTTTTATGCTAAAAATAAGCCACAAATTTGGTCATCTTTGATCTCGACTTGTAATAGTCGTAGAATTCCAAAGGTTTGAGTAGAGCTTGCCAATACCTAATGTATTACACATCTCTTGTTGTTTTTTTAAGTTAGATGCAGGGTGTGAGGTGCCTAGTGACAATTACTTTGTACCGGGTACCGAAGTTTTTGAGGATGGTTCTTTCTAAGGTGATTTCTACTCGGTTGCCTATTTGGTTTGATAGATGGACATACATGCATGTTTATCTTTTCCGCTGCATCTAAACTCTGTTATTTAGCGATCGGCCCAACTATTATGTATGACTCTTGCACCATTAACTTATGAGAACCATTTTTTTTCCATTTATATGTTGTGTATGTTGTATGAATATGAAAACAATGTCGCGGATCCGTGTACTAGCCATTGATCATGGGGCAAGTACGGTATACGGTCTAGGTATTCCTGAAATTGATCCCTGCATGCTGACAAACCACAGATTGTAATGAGGGGTACATTAGTTATACGAGCGTGATCTGATGCACCATCTATTATATACTAAAAATCCATTAAACTTCCTACAAATGCTCATAAACCGCCATGTAGCATCTTATAAATGCTCCTAAGCCGCCACATGGCACTCTAATAAATTAGAGAAATTCTTAAAAGGACACACAATATCTAGCCATTGATTTTTATTAAATTTGGTGGACCCATTATTTGTAACCATTAGATTTATTAGAAAAAAAAACATCTCCTTATCCCTAGGCCCACCTCGGCCTCTTGGCAAGTACTCTCTCCATCCCAAAATATAAGGCACAACCACTTTTTTCTCATGTCTCATAATATAAGGCGTGCACGCATGCAAAAATTAACTAGCACCTCTTGGTCCAATGGAATTGATTTCTTTTAAATCCTATACTATCAAACTCCCAATCACATTGCTTGCATGGATCAAGGTGATCCAACCAAGAAGGTGATTAAATGTTTTCTTGGTCTTTGTGATATGAGTGGTTGAGCCTTATATTTTGGGATGGAGGGAGTACTTGAATGGTTGAGCTTTATATTTTGTGATATGAGTGGTTGAGCCTAATTCTTTTTCTTTTTTCACCTATTTTCAAGCTTTTAGAAAAGGAAAAATTTTATGTCAAACAATTGAACAAATATAACATCGAATCATAATACTAATATTTGATCCGCTTGTATCTTTAGATATTTAACATTTAAAAAATCATATCCACTTTAATTCAACACTGAAGAGAAATATGTCACATTAATTGGGTCAACATTTTCTGACTTTTATGTGTCATTTAAGAAATTATAAAATTATAAAAATAATGATATATATTTAATCAATCGTATATAACTTGAAAATGTAAGTCTAATTTACCTATGCATATTAGTATTTCTAATATATCAAAACACATGGCCAATAATGATATATAGAATATGTTGTTAAAAATAATTATTTAGTTATCTAATTATTTTTTACATAATCAATTTGTTATCTAGAAAATTAGAAGATGGAAGGAATGAAGAAGAGAGAGGGATGTTAGGTTTTTGTTCAATTATTCCTAAAGAGAGAGGGATAGCATAAATAAGAAGCCTGTGCAATTGCGGGGGCTACTTTCCTTTGTGAAAATAGTACAATGCGGAATTTAGATATTAGAGCGTTTGAACCAACACCAACACGCAAAATCAAGTAAACCCTACTCGGAGGACCATTATTTAATTTATTCTTAGCTGCTGAGAACTCACGGCCAATACATTTTACATTTACAATACGCAGGTTAATTTCTCCCGGAGTCGAAACAAAGATGTCTTTCGAACTCTGCACAAGTTAAAAATTAAACGAGATGTCCAAGAAACGCTAGGCCAAAAGAAAAATAAAAGGACATGTCGGCGAATTTTCCCATTTTTTGGTGAACTGACCAGATAAGCAATCAGTCAGTAACGGAACCATCAATCTATCATGCAAATATCATCCACACGCTGGAGGAACGTTTGCTACGCCTTGCCTCTGCAGCTCGCCCATCACACTGTCCACTGAAGGTGGCTTCAGTCCAAGAGGCAAAGGCAACCACGGTTTCGATAAAACATCACCGATAGCTGCGTCGATGCTCTCGCTTGACTGGGAAAAAAAATTAAAACAATGAAAATGAAGCAATTTAATTCATGAAGAAACTTCTGAATCTTCCTTGTGATGAAGTTATATGGTTAGAGATATGATAGTTTCAGCTAAACATTGCCAGTATGGATCTTCAATATTTATGTTCCTTCTGATGAAGTTATAGTTACAAATGTTTGATATATACTTACTGGTTGAACCTGGAGTTGAAGCTGTGCGTCCTGCTGATTCTTGCTCGCCAGTGCTGGTGGAGTCAATGGCCTATACATTGGACACGGGACAACTCCTGGCACCGGTGGAGCAGGAAATCTCTGAAACATGAGATACCATCCAGCCCATCAAAATTCTGCAGACTAGCTATAGTGATGAAATGTCACCTAACTGAAACTATATGTCAAGCAGAGGTGACATTTCCATGTAAGTAATTACATAATATCTTACCGCAGCTGGCATGGGCATCGCCATGCAAGGTGTCCCTTGAGTTGGCACATGTGCTGGCCCCTACAGAAACATCAAACAAATATACATCCTAAGAACCAATTGAAAACTAACGTATATGCTCTCTGGTATCTAAGCATTGCACTTGACAATATCATTATAGTGTATATACACATACTTACCCTCATGTAAGGGTGGTGCCAGAAAGCAGGGTCCGACGGCGGCGGCGGTGGAACCCATGGTGGCGCCGGGCCACGGGGAACGAGGTGCCGCGGTGGCCACACTGGAACTCGGGACGGGTCCATCGTCGGGTGGCCCCAAACATGCAACGGGCGAGCAAAATGTTGAATCGGAGCCGGTGATGGTGGTGGTGGCGGAGGAGGAGGGAAGCCAATGGTTGGCACGGTCCACGCGTTGGACTCCGGCCTCTTCGCAACAGCACCTCCACCGGCGGCGTAAATCTGCCGCCGTTGGGTCCAACTCGCTGCCTCCGCCTCTCTCGCAATCATGTGTTTTCTGTGTGACCGGTACTTCTGCAAATAATTTACATGAAGTGATAAGTCAATTAGTGGGCCAGGACGATCCCAAAATAACAAGGTCTATACTATATTCGTTTGAACAATTTGAAGATGTCTTGTAAATAGAAGTCACAATTCTGACTTACTCCCTCCATTGCGAAATAAATAACATGTAACACATCTTATTATTATAAATACTACATCCATCCCAAAATATAACAACTTTTAGCTATGAATCTGGACAACAACAGTTGTCCAGATTCATAGTCAGAAATACTTATATTTAAGGACGGAGGGAGTAATATGGTTCTTCTGCTGGGTGTAGAAAGCAAATACCATATGTACTGTTATGTGGACCAAAATATATCACACTTTATGCGGTGAAAACAGGTCCCACTAGAGTACTACACAGAACTGAAAGTCCAAACAATAGGCTACAAACTTACAGTTCAATCCGTGAACTTACAGCTCATAGATGATCAGCAGATGACCGGTACTGTGGGAAGCGAGAAAGGGTGGACACTGGACAGAGTGATGAAAATCTTCACTGTCACGCTCTGTAACAGTGTCTCAACTTTGGATTTTTGTAATTTATGATATCCATGTGCTCCAGGTTCAAATTTTTGTTCTACTGCAGGACATGCCGTGTGAGTTGAAGTTCTTCGTGTACATATGTTCGTTTGATAGTACTCAGTTTACCACATATATTGAGTTATGGCAAAAATGTTTTCCAAAGATGATTTTAAATCCTACAACTTGTTATTAGAGGTTTTCTTATCACTTATGTTTCCCTGGTTGTCCTTTCATGGTTGTTAAGAACATAAATAAAAATTGTACCTAAAATTATTCTCAAAGTCAAACTTTAAAATTCAAAAAGATTTGGAGACTGAAATCTGCAGCTTATCTAGCTGGGAATTGAAGTTCTACAATTAACTAAGGGTAAAACCTTACATAGATGGATTGCTGTCCATTTTTTTTAAAAAAGGCATTCTTTATCTGATGACGTAACGTTAGTTTTTAAGCCAATAATACCAATTTCCGTATTGTATGAAGTTATCACTGGGAGTTTTTCCCCCAATTAAGTTTGTAGTTTCTTTTAGAAAATATATGAATTAAAACCTGGGATCTACATCATATATCTACTTTTACATGGAACAAAAAGAAATCTACATAGAAACTAAAGTAAATAACAAACCAACGGGCCAAACCTACATATCTTTATCGGAGCTCAAATAAAATTATTAGATAGTTCATTTATCATCGATCTACACTGAGAAACCAGGTAACCTACAAAATGAAGCTAGTAGGAATAAGGTTTCATATATATAATATATACACACGCGTCTTGCTGTAAGAATAATACTCATATTATAAAAAAATAACACGATTAGAATTTGAAAACTGGAACCAACGTCGTGCATAGCCATGATTTAAATAAATGTTTGGTTTGAAGTATTTTATAGTCCAACGAAGGACGGTACAATTAGGAAATAAAAAATATTTCCCCACGTAAAGTGAGAGTGTGAGACAGGAGATTCCACCATGCACGCACCTGAAGATGGCTGGCTATGTTGTGCCGGGTGAGAGAGTCGATCCCCATGATCTCAAGTATCCTCGACGGCACGGCCTTGTCGATGCCGAGCTGCTCCACCGCCTGCACGAACCTCCGGTGAAGCTCAGGCGTCCAGTCCACCTGCAGAACCATGCAGCATGAGCATGAGCAACGGCTTGTAATGCCACAGGTGGAGCTAAATTGTGTGCATGCCCCTTGAGGGTTGCACCTTCGCTTTCTTCTTCCCATGGGAGCTCTTGCTGGATGACTTGTGCCGGCTCTCAGCCTCCTGCGACGACGACGTCGTCGATGACGGCGACGAAGACTTGGCCTCAACCGCCGCGGCTCCATCGTCGACATTCGCTTCCCCCGCATCATCGTCCTGGTTACACCCTCCCTTCTCCTCTCCAGCCCCGGCAAACGCCGCGTTCTCCTCCCCGACGACGACATCGCCGCACGGATCCAGCACACCGACGTCGTCCGCAGGCGCCAAGAGCTCGACGGTGGGCACCTCCTGGTCCTGCACACCTTCGCCTCCACTCGTCGCGATTGCCTCGAAGTCGGTGAAGATCTCGGCCGGGTCGACCTCGAGGTCCGGGAGCACATCACCGTCCTCCAGCCTCAGGAAGAAGTCCCCGAAGTCTATGTCATCGACGGAGAAGTCGAACTGATCCATGTCGTCCGACGACATCCCGACGACCTCCATGCCAGCATCGCCGGCCACCGCGGCGCGGTCCTCAATGTCGGGGCACATCGCCGGCGACACGGCAAGCATCTCGGCCAGGAGCTCGGTGCAGCACGTCCAGCTCTCACTCAGACAACGAACTCACAGGATGTGCAGTGCAATGGAAGTAAATGATACGTTAGGTTACGGGCGCTGCGTGCTGCAGGCAGCAGCTATAGCTAGCGGCATCAGTTGCTCGCTCAGGCTCAGCTTTCGACTGACGGGGGGCCGGTCGCGCGCGGTTGGTGCGGTGGTGACTAGGTGCGAGGTATTGTTAGTTGCGAGGAGAAGTGTGCAATCTCCGGGGAGTATTAGGGGAAACGGGAGGAGGCATGTCGACCACAAGCTCGCAAAGATTTCTCCGATTCGTTTGATGGGTTGCCTTGTCCGCGAGCGCAAGTGCAGCTTGGTCGCTTCTGCAAAATTATTGCAGGGCAGTGTGTGGATGAGCCTTTTTTTCGGTGAGACCTCTATATTTTTTTTCCTCCCGATGCGAAGAACAGAAACACATATAGATCAGAGAGAGATGGTAGGGTGGACTCTCGTGAGACAAAGCCGAGGGAGAAGAGAACAAAAGATGACAGCGGCTGCATGTATATCGGCTGGAGACTGTCCTGCATCTTAGCTGATTATGCCTGCTGTGTTTTTCTTTTTTAAAAAAAGGGAGAGATATAGGGGCTGTGAGTATAGCAACGCGTTCAAACTGCAGAGGATTTGTAAGTAGACAATTTAATTACTCAGCGGCAAAAAAAAAAAAACAGCGTGCGGGGCATGAGTTGTTTGGCATAATTAGGAAGTACGCGCGTCTTGTCAACTTTTTTTTTTAGAGGATGAGATAAGGTTTACTTGGTTCAGGAGCTCAAACTCACCTATGATATAGCCAAAAGATTTTCCTACAGTATTCCAGGTGCATTTATTAACAATTATGTTAAAACTAGTAATTAGAATACTAATTAATTAAAATAAATCTCGGTAAGTTGTTTAATTTTTATTGTTTATATATATGACTCAACCCCTAAAAGTTAGTAACTTCCCGATGGTTGTTCTGCAAACCATCCTTGGTTCTGCTATATCAAGATACATCTAGTATGCATCTTCTATTATAAGTGGCTGGTGGCCAATATCTCCAGTGGGCAATGACGACAACAATTTCTTATTTGTGACAAATATAACTTATGGTGTTGCTAGCAATTATATGTTCCCCTATCACTTTCCACTGTCTTTTTATCTACACAAAGTAGTCCTCTCAAAATTACATCAGTGCAATATTTCAAAATTACTTCTTTGGGAAACAATAATATATGAATCTATATATGAAAAATATTTAGTATTCTATGGATCTATGCAGGAACATATAATTAAACAATGCTATATAGTTTCAGATGAATAATTTATATATATCCCTCATTTTGATACCATGCATATATATAATTGCTTTGTTATCTGAAAATAGATAACATTGCTCAAGTGAGAGGAGTATTATCTAGTGAGAAGAAACTAGATAATTTTTTACTTGAGCAATTTTATCAAGTTTCAGATAAAAAAAATATATTCCTCTTTTTCATTCCATGTATTTTTCTATATCTACCAGTACATGAAAAAAATAATTAACCATAAGAGAGTTGAAGACCATTTTGTGTATCCATGTGTGCAAACTACGTTAGAAGGGAGAGGCTAAATGCACCAGTTGTACATAAAAATATTTTCTCAGGCACTGGGCTCTTCATTTCACATGCGACCTTAGCTAGTAAAAGTAAAACCATCTATTGAGATGATTGAGGTCACTTCAAGATCACAGAATATGCCTGTGAAAATATATTTGTATGGATATAGGTTAAAAAACCACCCATAGAAATAGGCCTATTTTCGTATGCGACTTTTCTGTTTTTAGATGCGGAGTGCTAATAAATCCGCAAAAAGATAATTTTTATAGGTTCTTTCTTTTCAGGGGAGGGTGTGGGTGACCTATATAATCGTCTACATTCCATATTCCATATCAAAGTTACAGAGATCAATGAGATCTACAACCTTTTAGTTGATGATTTTTTTATTTGATGTCATTTACAGTGCCAAATAATCTGTCATGACTCTTGTACTGCTCAAGGTTGCACCTTTTCCAGTGAGTCGCTAAAAAAAGATTTGCAACATAATTGTTATTACTGGTTGATATATGTTTTGAAAAACTGAAATCGAGCACATTTAAGTGTGTTGCTAAAAAATATTTGCAACATAATTATTATTATGGTTGATAATGTTTTGAAAAACTGAAATTGAGCCTGTGTAAACATGTCTGTAAAACTACCACAAGTGTCCTCGGGGTGGACCACACTATATCAATAATTTAACTTGTGGTGAATTATTTCGACCTGGGTTTGCATCGATTTTTTTAACCAAATTAAAATGAGCAATTTACAATTGGTTGTACTTATTTCCATCCATCACAGAAGCTCATATACCGTTAGTATAATTTAATCAAAGTACTCCCTCCGTTTCACAATGTAAGTCATTCTAGCATTTTCTATATTCATATTGATGTTAATGAATCTAGATATTAACATCAATATGAATGTAGGAAATAGTAGAATGACTTATATTGTGAAACGGAGGAAGTATATAAAATCAACATTGAGCTCTCTGTTGCATGATCACGACAGAAACTTAGTCCTGCATCAACTATAGATTATATTCATTGAATCGAACTCGCCCATTATGATGATGATGGATACAGTCAAAATGATACGGATCTCTGTAGCAACTCCTTTCAGGGCCTGTTTAGCACAGCTCCAGCTCCAACTCCACCTCTCTTGGAGCTGGAGCTCAGCTAAACAGTTTCAGCTCCACTAAAACTGGGAGTGGAGTTGGGTGGAGCCCTCTCACAAAATGTACTAGAGTTGTGGAGCTGGGTTTAGGCAGCTCCACAACTCCACTACAGACAACTCCTGGAGTTATATTTAGGAGTTGGAGCTGTACCAAACAGGCCCTCAATGTAGCTATAATTAACCAGTACAGCTACCCATATGACCACATATATATCGGTCCGTTTTTTGCATTAAACTAGGAAGGTGGCCCGCGCACATGCGCAAGCACTTATATTATTAAAAGATAAGATTATTGTTTGTTCAAAAATTTTGTCAAATAGATTAAGAGCAAACTAAAATTGGGGTAATGGTATTTTATAATAATTTAAGGGTTCTATTTGTCTTAAGGTATGTTAAAAAACCATTCATAAACTTTTGAGTAGGAGATGGATTAAGTACTTACCCTTTTTGAATCATGTTTTTTGTCTCGAGTAAATAAGAAACTATTGCTAGGTAATTATCATATAATCCATACATATACATATAGTGTATTATGTCCACAAATGAAAAATGCGAGCAAGATATTCAAAATTATTGTGATTAAATCGTCTCATGAAGGCGCATGATATAGTAAGAAAGGAGGGAAGCGTATGCACGGAAAAAAAAAAGAAGAAAGGGAAAAATGAAAAAAACGGAGGGGAAGCGTACGTACCCACGTACGTAGGTGTGTATCTATGCTGTGGAAGGAGAGGTGGGACCTCATAGTATTTAGTTTGTTCTAAGATCAATTTAATTAGAATATTAACCGTGTAATATATATGTATGGGGCATATGGTAATATTTGTTCCAGCTTCGTCTATGTTTATATACATGTAGAAAGAAATTAATTATGTGGCTAACAAGCCATTAGATGTCTAATTAACAACAATTAATTTTGACACCTATTTATAGTTGTTCATAGTAGCGCTTACATATTCATCTTACGACTTTGATTATTCGTTGATCCGTAATTTACTGTTCACCATGACTCGTATGAAAAAATTGTACTACTTAGGGTTTAGGACAGCTGAAATTGATGAATTATCTGATTTAGATGATAGCTATTTGAGGGTATAAATGAATCCCCAATTTACTATTCACCATGACTCGTATGAAAAAAAAAAGTACTACTTAGGGTCTAAGACTGCTGAAATTGATGAATTATCTTTTTTATATGATAGCTATTTGAGGGTATAAACGAATGAATTGACTTCTGAAAGTTAAAATGTTGTTTAAAAAAGACACCACTTACAAACTTGGATAGCGTACAAACAAAAATCCATACTATGGAATCAGGAAAAAAAAAGAGGGTCTTAAACTCCCTTGTCTTAGAAGAGTTCTATTCATATTAGTTAATATTGTGCTAACATTTATAACATAATGATTTCTTTCACCTGTGCGAACAAATAGTACAAAATCTAAATACGATATAACACAATACATTATAATTATTATGTAATCAACTCTCGATTCAGCTTAAATGGAGCTAAGTGTTGCAAAAACACAACCCACGGTGCTTAATTCTTCTCTCACTACATCACACCTTTAATTTTATCTTAATGTTATTAACAAAATTTATCATATATATATATATATATCTATATGTATGTATGTATGTATGTGTATATATATACATATATATATATAGATATGTGTCTGTGTATGTATGTATATGATTCGATATGTGGCAAAGCGGTAGCGCTGTGGCAGTCGTGATCATCTAAGATGCCTCACACACGATGCTTTGTCACGCGTGCAAAAGGCAAATGTGCAGACGTGCATTGTACAGCTGGCTTCAGATGCTTTATTTATTAGCAAACAATAGATTCGATGATTTAAATAATGGGTCCACCGGTTATAATGTAAGTGAAAATTAGTTGATATAGATTTTTAATTGTTAATTTAATGGGTACATAATATAATGGTGTAGACTTTATTTTGAAATAGTGCATTATTTGAGAATAATAGTCCAATGTAATAAAAAATTGATCCGATGATTTAAATAATGGGTTCATTGGTTTAAGTGCACGTATAAATTAGTTAATATCGATCTTAAATTGTTTATTTGATATTTGATAGGTACACAATATATTTGTGTAAACTCTATTTTAAAATAGTGTATTATTTGAAAATAATAGTAGAAAGTAATTAATGAGTACAGCGGTTTAAGTGGAAATTATCTTACTCCCTCCGGTTTTATTTTAATTGATGTTTTGGACAATAACACGGTTTACAAAATATATCTTTGACCTTATTTTTTATTATAATATATATGATAAATAAATATATGTTTACTTTCATTATATTGTTTTGAAAGATAAATCTATATATATGTTGTTCTAGTTCCTTTAAACTAAATATTTTTAAAGTTATTGATGGTCAAAGTTATAAAAATTTGATCTCAACCTTATCCAAAAGGTCAATTATTGTAGAATTGGAGGGAGTACATTATTAATTTAATGGGT